GATGCCCCCCCACACACACACACACAAACCTCACTCAGCCTCCCTGCAATGGTTCCCTTCCTACACTCTAAGCTTGTAGGTGCGGCCAGAAATGCACATGAGGCAGTGAGTGTGTGCCTCTTCTTATGAAGGATAACATGAGGGAGACAGACATACACTCTGGCTTCAATGGACTTTCTTTGGCCTTTCCATGAATGTCCCCCAAGAGCCATTAGCAAGGTTTTATGGATGGCAGAGCCCTAGGAAGTACCACCTCAGCCTTTCATTGGGATAGGAACTGGGGCTGTGCTATGTAACCCCTTAACCAATGGCCACTAGGAGTTGGGGGAGGCACTAGAGCTAATGTCAGAGAAGTGACATGGGATAAAAGTCCAGTCCTTTAGCTCCAGGGAGGAAACAGCCCAGAGAACATGTCCCAGGTTGCCCCTACTTACCTGGCTGAGCTGGAGTCCAATTCACTTGGGGAGGCTGGGATGTAAACGTGAGGCTGCTCAGCAGCAGCAGTGACTGTAACAGTGACCATACAGCTCGAGGGGTTTCTCACCCTGAAATAGAGGAAAGGTGAGTGTGTCCATACTGAGAGCTGATATCAAACAGGCTCAAACAGGCTTTTCGAACCCCAATCCCCAGACTGACACTTCAAGGAGGTTTTTTTTAAAAAAAATTGATGTTTTTAAAATAACCCTTGCAAATCACTTTTCCATCTCCTCCCCCCTGTTCTTACCCCGCAGGTGTGACTCTCCTAAACTCTAAGGGTCCCCAGGAGACTTGCAACCAGGGGTGCAATGGGCAGCAGCAGCTTGTTCCCGGCTAATCCCCTGAATCTACTCCTAAGGACTCCTTTTCTCTGACTTCCCAGAAAGCTAAGGCTCTCCTGTTGCTTCTTCCATGGTAAGCCCTTCCTTGTTTCACTGGCCCCAGCTTTAATAAACAATGCCTGGACTCGTGTGGTGAAATTCTCCCCGCACAAAGTCAAGCTGGCCGTACACTACTAGCTGGCCATAGACAGACCTGCTGAGGGCCAGGTCCTCTGTCCAGTAACAGCATGCTGTGTGCTCCCTGAGGGCAGGCTGGCAGGGTCCTGTACATCTTGTTCAATGTGCTTATGGCCGGAACAGCTGGCTCACATGAGGCTGTTCCCTACTCATGGCCACTATTGGAAAAGATCTCTCGGGAGCAAAGGGAGCATCCAAATACTGTCATTCAAGGCCAAACTGGTGGTGGTGGCAGTGGAAGACTTCACTGAACTTCCTTTATCTGTGGCAGGGAGTCCCATCCACACCAGAACACACCTTCCTCTGAGAACGTCTGTCTCCTTGAATGGCAAAGGCAACCCATATGCCTTTTCCAACCCAGGTATTCATGGCACACATGGCTGCTAGGTAATATGGTTCTGTGTGCCAGGCTTGGTCTAACAGGTTTGATGCCATGGCTTCAAAATGAAGCCCATGCAGATTGGCCCCGCGGATGCTCTTTGCTGGTCAGCTTCCCACTGGCTCCTAAGCAATCACACCTGCAGAAGGTAACTGGCCTGCTCAGTGTATCAGGGTTTGTTCTGGGGTGTGGAACTTGGAAAAACCCTGGCAGTAGGAGCAGGAGCCCAGCACAGTATAGTTCTTACCTGCTGGCCTGGCTCTCCAATTCCATGAGCTGCTGGAGTCTTCTGGGGCTGCTCTGACGCTCTGGAGTGCTAGGGTCTTCAGGTTGCTGGGTGGGTGCAGCCGTGTCTCCCTGGCCACCTCTCGGGGCTCCGGGCTTCTCCTGCCAGGTCTCTCCCAGCTCGGTGACCACATTCTTCTCCTCAAAACCAGCCAAGGAGCTGAGGAAGAATGAGCTGAGGAGCGAGTGTTGTGGGACTAGTCCTTGCTCACCCACTGCAAACTGATGTCACTTCCTGTGAGCATAGCAGCTCCTCTCCTGGAGGATGGAGCAGAAAGGAGCCTAAAACTGCCCCCCCCATATCAGAAAGCAGTCTGTCTCCTCTTCGAGGACCCCAGCACTGCTACTCCCTTTCCACTGACAAAGGCAGCATCCTCAAGAACATCTAGAGACTGACTTTAATGAGGTTTTAAAAGACAAAGTCTTCTCCTAGCTAGGAACAGAGGTATTCCTTCACCCCTCCTCCCACTGTGATCCCCCTTTTTTTCTAAGCCTTCCCTGTTCCAGTCCATCTGCTTTACTTAAAAAGTCCAAAGCCATTTTTTATTCCCAGGCTCATGTGCTCAGATAGGTGTATGCAGCCAGGCCCTGCAAGCTCCCTCTTCCCCAGCTCTCTGGGAAGGAGCTTGTCCCCAGGCTTCCCTGGCGGGCTGGATGGGGATACGGAGAGGGAGCGGGGCTGTCACTCACGCTAGAGTCT